AGTTTAGTGAAACTTGACTTTGGTGACAACAAGGGGACTCGATTCCATGGTCGGATATGATTATATCTAACTTGGCTTCACCGACAACAGGGAGACTGAATAGATTATTTACTCGAATGTGACAATGTGTCGGTAAAGCCAGAATTTCATACAGTCTTTTCTGGGGCCTGTTCGTTTATGCAGAATAAACCGCTTTGGCTCTTTTTAAATGTAACAATTTCGGGTATAAATCCTGGCGGACCTGCAGGCCTTGCAAGGCTTTTTCAAGGCTTTGTTAAGGCTCGCCTGAAATCAGCATTAGATTACTAGGTCCGACCTTATTTCATAAACGAACAACTCTGGTCCAACCGTTTCGGTCGCGATAAACGAAAGTGGCCCTGGTTGTGATACATTATCAAATATTTAAGAAAGCACTTTTAAAATTTTGTATTTCTTCAGTTTACAAAACCAGGAGCTGAGGTCTTTGTTGAATTTGAAGAGAAGATTTTTTTTTTCAAGCAGATGTATTGGTTTTTCAATCTTGACCATTCAACTAATCTTTAAGAATGCCTCCTTGATCAATAGCTTTTATTAATCATATTGAAATGAGATACCCTCGATCAAAGCGGTCTTTCTGAATATGTGATTTTTTGGAACATTGGTGACTAGGTATATCCCATTACAAACTGTAAATATTGATACTTAGTCAATACTCACATTGCATTTAAAAGCAGATAGCTTATGAGTTATATAACGTCTCTCATCCTCGGAAGTCTGATTTAACGCCATTCTGTAATATGTGTTTGACTCTGCCGTAACTGTGCACTTATGTGACCGGGAAGATCTGAGTAAATAGTGTAGCTGTTCTATTTACCTGTTCTATTTACATATCACTTCAAATGTTTCTTTACCATGAAGTCTTCAATTGAAGCAGCAAATCAAACGCGCCGCGCGGATGAATACATCCCTGCCCGATCTCCTCCTTATTCACAAAAGACAACTCGAACACAATGTATACCCCGAGTATGGCAATCTGAACTCTGAACTCTTGGGCCTTGAGTATGAACTTGCCACCCAAACCGACCTTAGTACACCGTTCTCGACAGAACTAATTACTGCATATCAAAGGAAACTGGCTGAATTAGTCATACAGGTCTTTATAATGGAAACCATTTCACTTTTTAAAATTTAAAATGAATATCATTTTTTATGATTTTATTTAGCTAGTATAGGCTTAAAAACGAAGTGCAAATTTATATGCATGACTGTATTATTGGATTTATATGTATGGGAATGATTGAGATATTAACCGATTGAATTGGCGAAGAAAAACCAACAAAGGTTCTGATGTTAATAGGGTCGACGTTATGGATTTTATATTAAAGATGAATTCCCCACTGAATATATTTATTACTGAAAGACATAACGCGTTATGAATATAACTGATCTTTCACTAAAATACCACATAAAAAGTGTAAAAATCGGATCATAATAGTTATTTGCATTTAGTATGAGCCCGTGATAATTAGCTATTAAGCTAGATACAGCTGCCAATGTAGATAGTTATATATTGACTGTACACCTACAAACCGTACTCCCCTTATTCTGTTTAGACCTTAAAACAGTATTACTAGAAGCAAAAGTGTCATATAAATGGTTTGAAATATCGAAAACTTAAATAAAGAAGAAAAGAAAAAAATACTGCTACTTCCTTAATCATATTTATATATCACTCATACTACCTCAATCAAGTCTGTTTAATTATTATCATATTTATTCGGATTTTTTTAATATGCTTAATATGTAATGTATAGATGAAAAATGGTTTTGAATTCCGAACGGAAGAGGGTCATATTAAGTAGAGTCTGAACCGATTTTGCGTATTAATGTTCTCTCAAATATGGCAAGATTTGTTACAGTAGAAATCAATGCGCGCCCTTCTTCTGTACGTTCTTTTGAAAGCTAGAAACATGCGCATTTGACGAAACATCGGGGATAAGTGACGATGAACATTTGCTGTTTGCTACATTTGTTACATATGGTGTAATATTTCTCTGATAGATTTACAAATATGTGATGGATAAATACAGTCGGTATACAACAGACAATGTCGTTATTTCATTGTTTGATATAACTTGGGCTCTCAAATAGATTATGTTTAACGAATATGCTCCACTAAATTTTGCATACCTAATCACCAAACGGAACAGAAAATACAGAGAACATGAACAAAGAATTGCACTTATATCAAGAATGGTAAAAATATTAAAGTTGGTGCTACCAAGATAACGCGACACTCACACAAATTGATCTCATTTCTCCAATATAGTTTACTTGTATTCTATTTAAACAAATCTTAACATTTGTGATGCCATGGTCGTCTGCTTTGGTAAAGTGCGTATAGGTCTTAAGTGAGGAATGGTATGGTTGCTTGTACAATTAAAATACGTTCTCATATTTGGGACACCTAATTGATATTCATTACACCCTTCCCTCTGCCAAACACCTGGGCAGGTTTGGGGAAACAATAGACCTGTTGAATCTCACTGTATAATATGAGATGACTAATATTGGGGCTCTCCAGAATCGGGCATATCCTTCTGTGGGGACATAGAAGAGACCTTTGTTTTCCTGTCTGTCCTACCAACTCTCCCTTGTCGGCGGTATCTTGCTAGACACATCCAATCAGCACACTGTCAGGCAGTGTGACCGGGCGGAGTGTCATGCTAACCATGTAAAAGTTACGCCAGCTCAGCGATACAGAAGTGGCCCTTAGTTTGCCCAATTTTCTGAGGACACCGTCTCTGTGTACCCTTAGCTGTTGCGAGGACGTTAAAACCATGAACAAAACAAAAACAAACCTCTTCAGTATATGCGTAACCATCTATCTAATGCATGTACTTCTACTTCTAAATGGTACTGACCAACTTCAACAATTTGAAGATAAAATGTCAGACGAGGAGTGAAACATGAAAAGAGATTGTTACACGGAAAGAATCATGTAACACTGTTGAACGTGTATCCATGGCAATACACACTTGATAGGTTGTTAACATGATTATACTTATTTCAAGAGATTTTATTATAGTGTCATAATGACGCAGCCTTCCTCCACTTAAATAGTGTAACACTGTTTCTCCTCGAAAAATGATTTGCTGTATATATATATTACTTTATGGAGCAGTGTAATTGTATTAACCTCCATACCATAATATATCAGAGGTACAGAGTTACGTGAAAACAAATGTATTATTAACTTAGTATGGCAGTCATTCCCCCCCCCCCCCCCCCTTTAACGGTAAGATTTGTCTGTGCATTATGAATGATTAGAGGCCTGTTGTTAAACAATGCTGAGCACAGACGACAAATTAACACACTTACTTAATCAACCATACTTCAATTTTGTACCATATGCATAGATTTCTCAATCATTTCTGGGCACATTTATCTTGCCGAGCGAATGATTTTGCGTAATAATAATCTTCAGAAGCACATTTCTACACCGAATGTACTTTGAGAATATATCACTCGTTTATTATACAGAAACTGTAAGTTGGCTTTTTATTGAAAACTCAATCAGAGTATTTGATACACAACGCTAACATCTATGTATTGGTTACACTCAATTACATTACGTCGGCGTAGCTATGAATCTCATGTAAACTGTACATTTAGTGGTAAATTTGGTGATATTTCAGATCGTTATTGCTATACAGTAATAGGCAATGTTTCCTTTCACATTTCATATTTATTACATCCATTCCTACATTGGGATGTGGATTTGTTGTGGTTGTTCAAAAACTGAATCAGTAACAAGTCCACCTTGGTGCAGCAGGTATACCATTATTGCCTAACAATGCCAGTAGAACAGGTATACCATTATTGCCTAACAATGCCAGTAGAACAGGTATACCATTATTGCCTAACAATGCCAGTAGAACAGGTATATCATGAGAAACTATTTAGGTTGGACTACACTAACCCAAAAGATGAAATAATAAAATCTTAACCTTTCTGAAAAAATGTATATAACAGACTCTTATTTAGCCGGTGCTTTGAAAACTGAACTATATATGGTCTGAAAAATGTATAGGAATGCATATATGTATGTAACTCCACTACATTGTAGACACCCTCGTGTCTGGAAAACATTTATTTCAAAACGTAAACTTAAACCTAATTGGAGAAAGGGAATAACGATTGATTCTTTACGGAAGTGAGCCGCCTCTGGATACGTCCAACAGTTTGAAATTGAGTCAAATTGTTCCCCATCGACTCCCTCAAGTTTCACTAGATTAAATAATTTCATGTACCCGAAAAGTCAACAATCTTTTCATGTATGTATATATCTGTATGAGTTATTGAAAGGTCAGGATATATGTTCTTTTCTAATCCAACTTTCTTATGTGAAAGTTCAATTAAGATGTTATAATTCAGTTTGCCATCTTGAGTACGTAAATAAGGCAGTAAAGGCTTCAGCGTATTGCCCCTACGACATGTACAAGTGATCAAGTGATGGATTTAGATATATATAACAGGCGAAAGAATCTCCGTAAGGATAATTTTTCTGCTTTTATTATATATTCTATGACGTTGTTTAAACATATTCAATTGGGAAACTTCAACAGTCGTTTCGCGACACAAGCCACAAGTAAAATGTGACTTCCGTTGTCAAAATATCCCCTCACGTTATTTTTTGTAGAAAACTGGCAGTTCGCAAATGGATATTTTTAAGGCGTAGATGCTGTAGGTCCTTTTCTTTAATAAACATACAAACGAATGTACCTGAATCGCTGAACAACTGAGGCGACCGATATGCACTATTGTGACTTACTTATCCGATTGAGTGCAACTATTTCATTAAGAATGAACAGCATTGTGCACGTTATCGCAAACCATACCTTACGTCCTGTAATAGGAATAGAGATATGAAATGTAATGAAAATAATCTTTATATTCGAATGTCTGAACAATGCATTAATAGTTTACACATGTTAACATTTCCTAATTTTGTCCAACAGACTGCCAGATTCCGAACTGCCAGACGTGCTTCAGTAGGAACTACTGTACCCAATGTCGGCCTCCGTACATATCCTACAGGGGGCGCTGTATCGAACGATGTCCAGACGGACTACATTATGCAAACTATTCCAAAGACTGTCGTATGATAGGTAAAATCTGGGAGTTTAGGATCATTATATATAATTACATTAAAATATCTAAGGGCCTAAGAAGTAATATCAACGGAAAATCCCATATAACATTGGATCCTTACAAACGTATGATAAGAATTACTTCAAAATGGTATATAAGGAAAAAGCAAAGACGTAGCTTTTATCAAGCTTCAGTTTTACCGGTATATTCTAAATTATGGCTTACGCTAGCAGAGGGTTTTCCTGGGGTTTTTTTTCAGTTATATTCCAACATATTTCTATTTCGTTTAAATGCATTGCGAGTGTTCTGTGATTTCTGTGTCTCGAAAAATGAGCGGATTGCTCCGAAAATTTGATAAACTTACGGTGTCTACACTTTTAGAACTGCTTCCTTGTCCCATATATAAAAACATATGATATATTAAAAAAGCTCGGATAAAACATTGATGAGAAATACTTGAATTGTAATTTGAAATACTCATGAGCGGGATACGGAAAACAAACAGCTCTTGTAATAAATCAGCACCTGTTCTTTAAGTGGCAATCCATGGGTTTGTGGTTGCTTGAGCTTTTTTATAATTATTCACGAATCTCGAGCAATCTTCAATGCAGATGGCGGTGAAGACATGTTGATGAATTTCTCTCCTTTAAAAAAAAAAGTTTTACATTTTCACTACTCTTTAATCGTTATGATTTTCTCCCTATATTTAACCAGAATTTCCCTATGTGTATCTGTGTTAACAGTCGACTGTATGGTGGGACCATGGGATCCGTGGGGAGCTTGCACGCGGAATGGTCAGACGTGCGGATACAATTACGGAATAGCCACGCGCACCCGAGAAGTACTGGAAAATCCGTCTCCGAACGGAATCAGCTGTCCTGCCCTGGCAGAAAACACATGCTGCCAAATGACCATGCGACATTGCGCAGGTGAGGAGCTGTTCCTAGCATTAGGGCTTGAATCTTTTGATTCCTTTCTCTGAAATATAACACAAAAGTGGACTTGAGCAAAACCATACTTATGTAGCATAAAATATATATACATATATATAATAACTTCAATTTAACGTTGTGCTTTGGAAAAGTTTGCACACTATTGATATGATGAACTCATGAATTATGATATTTGATAAATCGATAAACAGGAAAATATTCTTCTTCCCACTTTTGACTTTTGACCTCGCGATATATTTTCATTTTTCTACCTAATTATAACTGATATAATTTGCAAATGTCCTCTTAAGTAGACGAAGTTACCTTGCTACATCTAATGATATTTTATTTTCAATAACAACTTGTTAAACATCCCATTTAGGTGGATAATTGATCGGTTAAGCCTATGTGAGATAAGCTTATTATTCGATTATAAATTTCAAGTCAATTTAAAACACCATATCTCTCAATTAACACTATCTGAGTAATCAATTATGGTATCAATAGCAATCCTTTACACTGAGTTAAAACACATCTATCTTCTTTATGCGTTTTTGATATATAACAAGCGGCGATACCGTTGAACACAGGAAGGGTTACTTCCCTTGTAAATTATTGTAGACGATATACAGCGGCTATGCTGAAGTCCAAACTTTTAATTGTATTTCTGGGATCGGAAAATCAAACCCTTCAAGCTCCTGTTGTATTGATCAAAATGTCACCTGACGTCAGGTTGCGCATATAAAATAGCCTTTCAATGTCCAGCGTATATCCTATATAATTTATGTATTGATATTGAGGAAATATGTTATCTTACTGGTACATGCATGCATCTTAAATCTTTCCGAAAGGTTCCACAATTTGAAACTTTTAGAAGAACATAACTTGTAATATATATATCGTGTAACTTGTTAAATGATGACACATTTTATATTTATCCAAAAAAGTAATATTTTAGTTCTGAGGTATTTGCTAATTAGAACATATTATAACGGTGATTAACTTTAAAAGTAAATCGCAGTTAAACCACGTAAGGTAGCGTAGAAACTTTGCTGATATTTCTCTTCAATAGCATTTCTGTTTTGATGATATAAGTATCAGAGTTGCCTTTGATGATAAATAATGGCAAAGTGGGGGATACATGTTATACTGTACTCAATGTGAATACAGCTTCGATGTGAAGTTCAGGTATTATGTTTACAACATCAGGTAAATTTGAAAAACAAATGGCTACCAATCAGAATAGACGATTTGTGAAATTGTTTGTTTATAACATGAAGCAAGTAACTATGATAGTCTTTCTTTTCATAATATAGTTAAAAGCAAAGGCATATTACATCATCCAGTCAATTCATTCTCCATTCATAGAGCAACCATCACATAGCATGTTTTAAGCAGCGCATGTTCCCCTATTAACACATCAGATCTATATATTGTATGATTGCATGAGCTTAATTTTGTTTTGTCAGTCATTATGTCAAAGTTCAATACGGTGACGCCATTCAATTAAAACATGAATGTAATTTTTTTTAGAGATTAAATAGAAAGGAAAGGAACAACATTAAACTAAATGCTATATTTTTTAGTATTTTTTTTATTATGAAGTTATTCAACTACATATAGTGATAATGTTAGCTTGTAAAGACGAAACAGCTATGTGATGCAGTGTAATTCATACTGTACCTGTTACCAAATCTGTAAAGGAGAAATCACATGTGTCACGTTTTTCTTTCTGAAAATGACACGCTCAGTCTCACCTGATTAAGAGATCATTTCTAGTAAGAGATCATCTGCATTTTTAGACCTTTGTATTAGCTAATTTCATTTTAACTGAAGCTATATTATGAGACAATCTGCAAAAAAAGCACTACATGAATTTGCTCAATGTGGTCTGTTAGGCTGTATACAATGAATGACTTCCTTTCCTTTCCATATCTTTGAACTAATCCCGTAGCATGCCACTTATTATAGACGTATTGTGAACGAGCTTCTTATTTTTAACAAAAGCAAATAGGTCTGCCGTTGCCTTAGTTCATCTCAATCTTTATCTTGATGTATGTAGAAATTCGGATTCCTTGTAATGGATTGGGACCCTTTTTCTTAATCTGTAGCAGTTGCATTTGTCTTAAATCCCCCGAATAAACACTTTACAACGCAAAAGCCATAAATATATTTACTCTTCTTTCATTAAACGCACGGGAAGTCCTGCGTTCAACAGATATACATTTTGAAGGTAAAAAAACTCCAAAAAAACTAGAAGGTACCACCTAAAAGCTTCTGATTGGTGATGCACGAACGTATACAGGATATCAAAAGATAAAACATAGCGTTGGTGAAATAAGATCCAAGAAGCAAAACAGAAAGAAAGAAATCTTTTTACCACAAGGAGATAACACAATAAAGTTGAAAGAAGTTGAATGAATCTGGTGTGTTTGACGACCATACAAACTTCACCATACAAACTTCATCCTCAAAACTTTTCCATTCCTAGACGGCACCTAACAGACCTTATAGTTAGTATATGAGTTGTGACGTAGATGTTACCATTTGAATCAAGCCTCGCTGTACGATAGTTTGAGTCAGCTTAAAGTTGATTTTGAGCTTTTTATATTCCCAACATTTGGAGAATAAACGAGAGATCTAACACATTTCATTATTCTTTTGCCGTTCGCTGTATTCACCCAACTTCAACAGGAACATTAAGAAACTGTGTTTAAATAAGATAATATCGGTTCAAACGTCATTCCCTTGGACGGTAATAATGTAGTTATTTGTTTATTGCCTTTATGACAAACAAAAATAGCTATATCCGGCCAATGAGTTAAGACAATGGTAAACAATAAATCGATAAATACAATGACGAATATCGGTTATGTAATTTGTTCACACATTAAGAAAACCGAAAAACGAAAATAATTGAGAGTGTAGATTGAAACATTAAAACCATTTTGTATCCATTAAAAAAAATTAATATCAATTATAATGATGTCTATTATGATACGTTCTACCCCCATATCAAGAAAGTAAACGAAGACGATGTGACAATATGACACACGAGATTATGTCACATAGTAAAAAGACTGTGTTGGAATATATGGAACCTCTATAAGAAATGGGAGACATGTTGATATATCTCTATATTTACCTTTAGTTGATCTCTATATTTACCTATAGTATATTTCATATATTCTTATTAGATATATCATAAAATTGGTAAGAAGTACTACGCCTCAATTCCTCGTTATAACAAAACCGCTCTAGTAGGGTTTCTATTTGTAAACAAGGGATTTATTGCCACCCACAAAAATTAATGTTTAAGATTTCCCCTGTCACATAATCATTCGTGTTAACATTTCACTGATATCAACATTCATGTATCTAGATAGTATTATTGTATTCATCTTAACATCAACGTTTAGAGATACTAACATTTTGCAGTTCATCACCAATTCCTTGTGTGTTTCATTAACAAAAATATAGTCTTTCTTCTCATCGCTTCTTTTAGCAAACTTGACAAAGGCAGTCATACTCATTTATTGGTGTCGACCAATTAAACTAAGTCAATGGTAGGGAAACTGACTTCACAATTAATTGATCTTATTACGTTAGGCTTAGCACTAAATTACATGTATGGATATATGATCAAGATATGGAAATTTTCACCTGAAAATCTATGGTGTATATCACTCGATTTGGTCCAGTTTTTAAATGTGTTAATGAAAAGTAAACCAAATCTATGTATGTCTTCCTTCTTTTTTGTACTTGTCTAGTCGTCTCAAAAATCAAACAAGAATATGAAACTGAAATCAAATTGGATAAATGATATGCTTTTTTGACGGCGAGTAAAGCAAATAAAAATTGGGAAATCAGTTGGGTTGTTCGTTCACACTACTAATTGAAACTAAACCATAGAAAAAAATGCATGTGAAACTCGATCTATATACTCGTGACTTCGTATTCTAATGCTATATTTAAGAACATTTTCGTTAAAAGTATCTCTTTGTATCTCAACGAACCCCTTTATAACACCAACATTTATCTGGACAGATTATCAGTGTTTATTGTAGCAGAATGGTAAGGTAACTGGCTTCAAAGTTGACATAGATAGAACACAAATTAACATGTATGGATACTTGAGATATGAGAATTTTAATATGAAATAATGTTTTAACCAGTAATGTGTAAAATGAAACATGTACATATCATTACTCTATCCTACTATATTTTAGGTGTAGGTAAGACTCTTTACAGATTTTGAAGTCAGAACCTCTTGCCTGTGGTCTATAATTGTGTGTCTATGAGCTGACCTCTTGTGTACCGTTAAGATTCAGCGTTTCAGACCCCACACTGCAATGTCGACCTGACACTCTACATAATTAAGCAGTTCCTATCATAATGTTTTCTTTGTATTACCTGTCAACAGAATTCCTCAGAAGTAGCGAGCACTACCATTATAACCGCAATCTAACCCTGCATGTCTGTTTACATAAGTTTCCTCGGAGGGGTTTCAAAGGCTAGCCATCTATTCTTCTAACGTAACAGTTCGGTAATTAGCTATTTCTGGCTTCATAAATATAAAAGTAACGGAATATTTTTGAGAAACCTTTTCTTAATACAACCGCTTGTGTATTATATTGCGTAAATCAGAGATTGCTGAACATTTAAACCCGTCTGCGAGCTATTTCTTTTTTCATCTAAATAACAGAATGTATTGATTTTTGGACTAACTTAAACTTCATTTGTTATCTTAGTAACAGTGTGCATGAAATTCCTAGCCTAAAGCTTCAAACTAACTCCATCCATTTTTCCTGATGCATGTCATTACTACTAACCTTAATGTCCGGTCGACCTTTAATTATGACAACTACCGGAAGTGGAAAAACAGATGTCGAGCATGGTCCGGATGTGCCGAACTGACGATTTATATTTTGGATTTAATTTTAATGTTTTATCGATCCTGGCTAACAATGAAGCATCCTAGGGGAGGTTTCTTAACTTTAGCCTGATGAGGCGTTTGATGTATACTTCCAGATCTGTTACACAATAACTCAGATCTTACTCTTGAGAAAAGGAAAAAGCCATTTGGAAAGCGAAAAAGACGACGGAGACGAAAAAAGAAACGAAAGTACAGAAAAAGAAAAAGGGGAAAGAAACGAAGACGCGGAAGAAAGAACAAACATCGAAATAGAAAGAGATTACAAAGAAAACGAAAACAAAGATTACAAAAAGAGGCTTGGGAGGTGTTTTGTCGCCGCGGCCGAGTGTATAATGATATTGATATTCTCTCTAACGGATAGTGGTGAGGGCATACATGTAAAACATTTCCTTTGTGCTATAAGGTCCATGGTGGATCGTCCCCTTAAGAACCTATTATTATATGTTATACAGGTTCAGATGAACGTACTGTGAATACAGACCCAGTAACGGATCAAGGTACTTCTCTTAGTGATTGTGAGAGCGAGAATGACTAGTGTTGCTGCCTTCTCTAGAGAACAAACAATACTTTGGAACCGCCTTCTATAAGACGCGTCACCGCTGTTGAAGTTGGTATTGAACAAACAATTACAACAGTGTTTACCATGAAGCTAAATTTCATTCGAAAGTGTTCTTTAATTCAAGAATTTTAAAAGTGATACATTCTGATAACATGATGATATATGGATAATCGACTGAACATTCGGAAATTGTGTTGTTTACTTCCAGTGTTAGAAATCTAAACAAGGAAATGTATTTAGGGTTTTTTCAACAAACTACGTGCGACTTAATGAAGGATCATTTTGTGGTGACGAAGGAGTGAAAAGGCGGGTAATATTCTGGTTGTGCTTTCATGGCTGTGAGGTCACTGCCATATTGATTATATACATGTATATGTGATGCAGTATGCTTGGAATGACGTTTCGATTTATGTGTACAAGTGATTTACGTCACATTGATGATGTAAACGTGATATGTAAATATTTTCATCTGGATGACGTCAGGATGACGTTTACAGGACGGGGACAGTCAAACATTTTTGGACTGTTGGGAAGCCTTGGTCAACCTTATCGTCGTGACGTCAGGTTTTTTACAGGTGGACGGATTCGTTGAAGTGGAACATTTTCATCATTGCAAACATTTGATTTAACATGCATTATTTAAATGACCAGGATTCAGGTGAATCCAGCTTCATTCGGTTAATGACGTAATCAAATGAAATTTGATATCTTCATAATTATTAAACAAGAAAATAAGAATTCCTGATCATGAGAATCCATAAGAAACATTTTTTTAACATGACATTGAAATAATGAAGCTTGGTTTAACGATGATCAGTTTATTAAAGTTAATGAAGATATGACTTCTGAAATGGTTGTTACTTGATATACTACATTTTCATATGACAATACTAATTTGATTTCCTCTCACATTTCTAAAACAGAACATATGTAAAAACTATTTTGATGGTTTTCCATTATCTTTATACTTTAAATCATTTTATTGCATGCCTGAAGGTTTTATTTGCGGATGATTGAATTCGAGATTGAGAGGATGTTATTTCGATACTGTTAGTACCTATCTATGGAATGAATATTTATGGAAGAGTTATAGAGCTACTAAGTCTCGTAAATTAATAGGAAATAATTGTTTGTGAAAATAATGTGATACACGGTACTTGCAATACTATTTTCAAGAAACCATGTAGGATGTATATCAACCTATCAGACACGGCTACAACGACAGAAAGAAGACAAGCAGTTTAGGGTTGTGCTATAAGTCATATCAAATGGTTACAGTGCTAATATGTATTTTATCATTGTAACTAAGGTTACAGTGCTAATATGTATTTCATCATTGTAACTAAGGTTACAGTGCTAATATGTATTTCATCATTGTAACTAAGGTTACAGTGCCAATATGTATTTTATCATTGTAACTAAAGTTACAGTGTTAATATGTATTTTATCATTGTAACTAAGGTTACAGTGCTAATATGTATTTTATCATTGTAACTACGGTTACAGTGCTAATATGTATTTCATCGTTGTAACTAAGGTTACAGTACTAATATGAATGTTATCGTTGTAACTAAGGTTACCGTGCTAATATGTATTTTATCATTGTAACTAAGGTTACAGTGCTAATATGAATGTTATCGTTGTAACTAAGGTTACAGTGCTAATATGTATTTTATCATTGTAACTAAAGTTACAGTGCTGATATGTATTTTATCATTGTAACTAAGGTTACAGTGCTAATATGTATTTTATCATTGTAACTACGGTTACAGTGCTAATATGTATTTTATCATTGTTACTTAGGTTACAGTGCTAATATGTATTTTTTTATTGTAACTAAAGTAACAGTGCTAATATGTATTTTATCATTGTAACTAAGGTTACAGTGCTAATATGTATTTTATCATTGTAACTAAGCTTGTTTTTCGACTTGGGTTATGGGCTCACATTTCCATGTCTGTCTTTTTCTGGAAAATGAAACATAGAGTTGGACATGAAAGGTTAACACACGACCCCGACAAGATTATATATTTTGTCATCAATCAGAACAACAGAAAAAAAATCTTTTTCACATTTGTTATTTTTATTTGATTATTTTTTTCATTGTCACTGGCATAATGAGGTTCATATGTGAGAGAGTTATCGATCTTTCATCGTCACATGTAAATAATCGATATAATGATACTAGTGACTGATCGGACACTGTCCTGTTTGTTCTTCAAGTGTGATGTCTAAAACGTTGAATACGTTTTGAGAAAAAGTAAACAACATCTTAATGTTGTATATCTAAAATGTATTGTCTTAATTTATATTCATTGAACCTTTTTTTTATAACAGATTGAAAGTAGACCACAATGAGAGTCAAATATTTAGGCAAAATCCATATCTTCTGGAAATGTAAACGAATTATCTAATCAATACATACAATTTCTACTGTGATGTTTAACACGACTTGTCCGAGGAAACCTTGCCACTAAATTGAAAATACAAAATAGTTTGTCTATCTGTTTTACCTTTGTAAGGACAACGGATTTAAAATTCGATTTACATTAGAACATTTTGATATTTTCCGATGGCGATTCCTGACAACACAGAAATCATCTTAAACTGGAACAATATGTAATTTTACATTTACACATGTCACAACATACAACTTCATGTAACACAAATACTTTCTTCACCTAGAATAATATTTTAAAAAATAAGCTTACAATCGTGTGCAAGCTTGTTTAATCATTGTAACACACTGGCATAAGCCACTTCTCCTACAATAGACAGGGAATCAATAGGTTTATCAATAATGAAACCTAGCCTACTTGGGCTGATTTTCATGAAAAATTTCACTTGCAAAATATTTTCAATTTCGACTTCAATCTTATTTGCCTCATGATCCTGTCGCCACAATTAAAAACATATATACTGAAAATGAAAACGAATGATTCAAATTTTATATTGATTTCGTCGTGTCAACAAAAAAACGCTTGAGTATATCTGCTACTAAATTTAAGAACGGTCACAGTCTAAGCCGCGTGCAAAAGGTATATATATATATATGTATGTTTAATTTTCTATACTTGGTGATACTTCTTTTATATATGAAAAAATGCATTGATTGGAGGGACAATCGCATAACGAAATTTCGTTTTAATCTTATTTTTTATGGACGACCTATTTCAAGAGCAAGCAAAGTAATTCTCATGTAGTTTTCTGACATTGTGATTATCTACAAATACTGTTTTAAGAAAATAAAATAGCCGTGCCATTCAATTAGAGCCTTTGGCTGAGGTCGATACCTGGATTTATCAACCCAAAAAAAATAAAACAAATACCGAGGACGCAATCCGAGGTTAATATATCTTTTCACGGGTCGATAAATTCCGGTATCGAACGAATTAAAAGGCTACAATTGTTTTATTATTTTCAAAACAGTAATGTAAGCAATCTGATAAAAAAAGAAAGCGGATGCGGGACTGTACGTTGTTTGGAGACACGTCATAATTCTATTTTTAGAAACACCCAGTCCTTCAACAAAAATCACGCGCTCCAAGTCAATATCAGTTTTTATCGATGCACACTTGATGCACTCCTGTCCAATTACTTGTCGGGAATAATATGAAAAAAATAATAATAGATTTTATCAGTCATGGGCAACCTACAATGTGTCCATATATAACAGAAACATTAGATGTTATCAGTATGGGCAACCTACAATGTGTCCATATATAACGGAAACATTAGATTTTATCAGTCATGGGCACCCTACAATGTGTCCATATATAATGGAAACATTAGATTTTATCAGTCATGTGCAACCTACAATGTGTCCATATAAACGGAAACATTAGATTTTATCAGTCATGGGCACCCTACAATGTGTCCATATAAACGAAACATTAGATGTTATCAGTATGGGCAACCTACAATGTGTCCATATATATCGGAAACATTAGATTTTATCACTCATGGGCAACCTACAATGTGTCCATATAAAACGGAAACATTAGATTTTATCAGTCATGGGAACCCTACAATGTGTCCATACATAACGGAGACATTAGATTTTATCAGTCATGTGCAACCTACAATGTGTCCATATATATCGGAAACATTAGATTTTATCAGTCATGGGCATCCTACAATGTGTCCATATATAATGGAAACATTAGATTTTATCAGTCATGTGCAACCTACAATGTGTCCATAAATAACGGAAACATTAGATTTTATCACTCATGGGCAACCTACAATGTGTCCATAAATAACGGAAACATTAGATGTTATCAGTATGGGCAACCTACAATGTGTCCATATATAACGGAAACATTTGCTAGATTCATTTACATTGTAATACCAATGTTTCTTTAAGAGTCGATTTGTTAGTTTGTTAGAAAGTAACATTTACAGAATAAAAGTTTACTAAAAATACACATGTTTGTTATTCCTTTTGAAGTCTGCCTTGAGTAAACACATATTCCGACAACATCGGAACTTAAAAACGATACAAAATGACCGCATAGAGGTTGAGGGGATACAAATACAAACGGAAACGAATTTACTCTCATTAAAACTAGAGACGAAATCCGGTGTTCTGGAAGGAATAGCTTTGCTTTCAAAACATGCGGCATCAGACCGTTTACACAAGTACGTTCTTTACGCGATGCCAGTCTTCCAAGTGTCTGGAAGTTTTCACTCTTAAACGAAAATATTGTTTCAACATTAAATACCAATAAATTCAAAATCCCCGATCACATCGACTTTAACATGAGCGATATACTTGACACACATGATGTAGAGGATGATGGGAAGGATACTGCAGGTGTGTGTAAGTGGTGCACGTTCGATGGGTCTGCGATTTGTTTTCTCTTTTTCTCTCAATCTGACGTGAGACAAAGATTGACAAAGATTCAATGCTTTATTTACTAATTTTCAGACAACTATGTGCGGAATAAGAGGTCATATATTCTCATATAATCAAATAACGGCTGA